TTTCACTATTTGGTTCCTCATTTATTAATAACCTTTTGATTGCCGTAATTTTTCTCGGCAAAATTGTGCCTATTTTATGTATTTATCTATAATTTTTTTAACCAAATTGATCAAAATTTTGGGAAATTCATGAAAAAATTATCAGTGTTTAAAGCGGGAGGGTCGTCACCTGCGCACACGCGGGAATTGAGTCCCAAGCGACGGTAACAACACACGCTAAAAATGCGAAAGCTTACGGGTAGACGCTTGTTTGTAAACAATGACTCGCTAAGGCCATCTGACGTATGCAAGTGACGACTCCCCCCGGGTGGGCATTGCACAGGCACTTTAAATGGTTGCAAAAGCTGACTTTGGCACTCAAAGGGTCAAAGGTGAATTATACCGTTGAATTGAAGAATCAACGATAAAAATGGTGCATCTTTAATAGTATTAAAAGGCGGGGTGGTCGTCGCGCCGTGCGAGTTCTAACTTCATGTAAACAAATACTGTAGAATACTTTATTTTCGCTTGGAATTTATTTTCGCTATTTTCGCTGAAGGGATGATTCAGTGAAAATAAAATCCAGCGAATATACTTTTTTTCCTATACTTCACATTAAATCCATCATAAATCAGTGACAATAAATTCCAAGCAAAACGCCCAAAAAGCCTTTTCAGCGAAAACTAATTCCAGCGAAAATAAAGTATTCCAAAGTAATGTATTTTACATGCGTTGTGTATGTTGCTACGAGTTCCATATCGAACAGGACGCGGCGTAACAACCACTACCATAAAAGTACTCAATATAAAATACTCTATATGCATATCTCATGGATTTGATGAAAAACAAAATATTACATATATTAGCTAGGTTTTAACGTTTTCACCACCAGACATTTTTGTCCAAATTTCTTATATTCTTCAATATCTCTGGAAATGAACCATTGTTTTGGAGCCAACAGACAAAATTTGAGTCAATTTTCAGTTTTTACTCAAAAAATTTGGCTATTTTTGTCCAAATCTTCTGAAGGAAAGTGCAGACTATTTTCTGAATTTCTGATGAAAAAAATGGAACACAAGACCAGCTGATTTGAATGCACATGAACTTGGAACTACTGTCACAAGTCTGATACAACAACAACCAATACGCTATTAGTGATTTTGCACATACAACTTACCGGTACCTTTGGGATAAACTTACCAATTAAATGATGCATTATTCTGTTGTGTTGTGAAATCAATCAAGAAAAATATTAGGCGTCTGTCATAATTCAGTAAGCATTTGCCATTTGAAGTTGTATATTTATGTTGTATGTTTTGTAGAAAACCTCTCACTGATTGCTGTGAGTGTCATAAAAGCTTTGGACAGTTCATGACATATTTTAACATTAACCTTAAACACCAGATATTTTTCCCGCCTAAAATTTAGTGCAAATATTTTTACATTTTGTAAAATTTTCACTAAATTTCATTATCATTTTAGACCATACAGACACCTTCTGATGTTGTTTTTAGTTTTTGATCAAAAGGTTTGTCAATTTCTATTAACATTTTATGTAGAGGGAAGCAGTCTGTATAAAATAATTTTGTAGATGGTGCCAAATATTGAAAATTGCATTTAAAGGGTTATTATACTCAATGTATACTGTAAAACACGTCGTAAAAGCTATATTCAATTTTGCTTCCTGCAGAGGGCAGTATTACTATAGGCTCAGTAATAGTCACTGTAGAATATGAGGTTGCAAGTATGCAAGAAGACAGTACAGCTGGAGTATCAGTCGACGTGCAATGGAGGCCGATGCGTGGCGTACTGTCTGAGTACATACTTTGAGGTATCCTTGTAATAACCTTATTATTATACATCTTTTCTTTCCAAGGATATACCATGGGAATGTCGAAATCCAAAATGTTTTGAACAGAGTCATTGAACTTATTTGTGTGGAGTCAGGTCAAATTCTGATGGCAGCCATGTCTATTTTTATTATTAGAGGACGCTTAGGCGCGTAATCATTCCATATTTGGAATTCGCATTTCCTAATATGATAGGATAAAAATACCCTGTAAAATACAGCAAAATTACGGCACGCTGTAACTTATGGCGTTACGGTGACGGATGTATAATAATATACTTTATTTGATATTACCTACAACTTGAATTAGCAAAATCAAGGATTAGCTAAATTAGCTAAATTAGCTAAACTTGCAAAAAACATGTTTTACAGCTTTTCATTCACTCCCTAACTCATACAAAATTAACAATGACACCCAAGTATTCTTATAAATATTTCAGATTACCTAAAATATACAATTTATTTACAGTATTCCCCAGTATATACAAAATAATTTGATTTTTTTTTTTTTACAAAATATTTACTATATTACATTATTCAACAAATCAACCTTTTCATGATTACCATGCAAACACAGTAAATATGAAGACACTGAAACATTGTATATTGTGTAAAGAATTTTACAATATTTTCATTGATTGAGAAATTATGGTACATGTACTCTATTCCAAGATGAATGTACACAGAGCTATAATTACATGATGTATGCATGATACTGTATTTCCCAACATAAAACATTATAATTCATAAGTACTTTTAAATGTCATGGCAGCACCAGTGTGTGTTGACCAAGTCGCTAATTAATAAAGCCTTCCTAAACACAGGAACTAATCAGCTCCCCATGAATTCTAGAGACATTGTTCTACCATAGATTTATTTTCAATAGGGTCTTATGGCTCAACACAGTGGGTTACAATACATCAACCATTCAATACCAAAAGCAAATGACATACTGAAGTAACTGATGAAATTTATTCATACCCAGTACTAACATTTGAAATATTTGACCACACAGTTTTTTTAATAAATTGACAATACCGGTATATTGTATTCACTTTGTTTTTTTTAAATAATTTTGATTCATGATATCAAACAGTACTAAATTGATCTTCTATTCTCAAATAACATTTTCGCATTTAAGATATCAGAGAAAGCTAACTAGCCTGTGTTCTTACACTCTAATAATAAAAACAGTAAGCTACCATAACCAATGTGCTCTTTAACACAACTAAATTTGTAGGCATCTTGAATCAAATGGAATCCTTCGGCTTATTGACTGCAGGGGCAGTCAACCTTCAAGAAAAATTCTAAGTGACTGTGTATGTAATTTAAAACACGAACAAAAATATTGTGACTTCCTTTGTATTCACACTTATTCTGTTTATACAATGCGATTTCAATTTCACCAAATCTTACAAATTCCATAACTATACTAAGATGTTCTTTAAAATCAGCATTTTAACAAATGAGTTTCTGTTGCGTCAATGACGTGCCAATGAATTAACACTACCACAGCAAATATTTTTAAGTCAGTGACGTGTCATATCAGCACACAAAAAAGAAATTATAAACACTTATTACCGGTAAATATAAATGCCATAATTCTTACCAACAATTTTAAAGCAACATTTTTTTCTAATTTATTTTCTGATTATTCGTAGATCAAATGAACATCATTTTACATCATGTATAGGTCGTGATCAAGTTTTATAACAAAAAATATGAAAAAACAAAACAATTAAGCTTGCTCATTTCATAAAAGACGACAGAAGTTGATTTTGGGGTTCAAAAGGTCAAAGGTTACAGTGAAACTAATTTAACCTGTCTACATGTGAGAATAAGAATTTTTTTGAAAAGAAATTAAATTTGTTTAATTATACATCCCTTGCACAAAAAAATGTCTAAAAATACATAAATCTTGAATGTCATTATTTGAATAAAGAATCATTTACTGCAACCCTAACTATTCACTTAAAATAAACTTTTTTGTCAAAGATTGAAACACAGTAGGCTACTGAATGAATAAAAATGAATAAAATAAATGGTTTCCATGACGACAAATACACACAACAAATTTATTCAAGTAAATAATATAAGTTTGATTTGAAATAAACAATATCTACAATAATCTTTGTGCAAACAACAACAATAAATAAAATATACAATGTATCTACATAGCAATAACACATGTAGCTTTTTATATAAATGCTACTCTATATTAAAGCCTTATGTACATTTTGGCATTTTATGTACATTATGCATTTCACTATAAAGTCCTTTATATTCGCTAAAGAAATGAATCAGTGAAAATACCCTTTGTCTTATATTTTACATTCTTCTCAAAAATCAGTGAAAATAAGCTTCATACAAAACATCCAAAATTTTTTTCCAGTGAAAATAAATTTCAGAGAGAATGACAAAAAATATGTCAACAGATGTAAACATTTCTTTGGCTTTTGAAACATGAAGTTTTACGAATAATTAGTGAAATGCATCATGGGAGTGTTCCATTTTATGATGCTTCAGTGATATTTAGGATCTAAAAATAGTTTTTCATTCAATTATATATTTATAGTACATCACAAAAATTACCTCTCTAAGTCTTAAGTAACATAATCCACTATTCAATCTAACAACCAATCAAAGAAAGCTTAGAAAGAACTCCCGTGTCCTGAGAGTTTTGGAGACACATTACAAATTAATTCAAAATTACTTATACTTATATATACTATATATACTTATGAGATATTGATGGAATAGCTGAAAACTAATTATGCAAATAAGGTAACTAATATGAACAGATTTAAGTGTAAAACTAATAAGGTTTGCACAATGTACCAAGTTTCATTGAAATGTGATTAGAACCAAAAAAATATTAATTATTATACTAATTAGAGAATTAATATGAACAGATTTTAACCCAAAATTAATCAGACTGTCTATTGTCCTAGAGAATTTATGTACCAAGTTTTATTCAAATGTGATGATCAATACTTGAGATATCAGTATTAAATAATTATGTTAATTAGGTGATTAAGAAAATTAATTCCAGCGAAAATAAAGTATGCCACAGTACTTAAATAAAAGCATACATCCATTTACAACCTTATGTCAGTTGCATTACCTCATAGACCATGTTGTTTTTACTGAAATCTTGAATGTTAGATTTCTCTCACACTTTTAGAATATTACTTTTTCCCATCCAGTCGCGGAGATCAATTGGTGGGTGCACTGGGTCAGGGGTGTACCTGTAATAAAACGGACATTGAAACATAACATCCCATTCAAGGAGAATGTAAAAGCAAACAACATTTTTTACTTTTGTATATACATACATCACATAACAACAAGGTGCGACATGCTGACTGACTGTCGCTTTAAAAACACAGTATCATGAAATAAACTCAAACCAATCCCCAAATATTCTAATATTGATTATTCAAATTGCAGATCTTCTAAATTTTCTAAAAATCCCCAGGACTTCGGACAATCAAAGTTTGGTAATAAATCAGAAAATTTTTGAAGTTATTGTTCGTTCCTAGACAACTTTGAGATTTCCAAATATTAATGATAGTTTAACAATGTACTTATTCATCATGAAACAAGAATATGAAATCCACCAGGCAAAAACAATATGAATAGATAATTTAGAACAGATCTGGCATAAGATTAAAAGTGCTGTGATCCTACCTACATGTATGTATGTAGAACTTTGTGTAAGTAAACTGCAACATATACTGCTATAGTTACAACCAGGGATTACGGTAGCCCCATATTCTACTACCGTACTGTAAAATACTTTATTTTTGCTATTTTCGCTGAAGGAATGATTCAGTGAAAATAAAATCCAGTGAGTATACCTTTTTTCCTACATTTTAAATTTGACAAGTCAAAAATCAGTGAAAAGAAATAGGTGATTTCTCGTACAATAGCGAGATCTTGCGAGATGCGGCATGAAAGACGCGCGTTGAACGTCTGCCGCAAAAATCAAACGATTTGATTTTGAACTCAAATTTCTTTATTTCGTAGCTCACATCGACCGGCCGATCTTCAACAGAGGAATATTGCTTCTGAATACCCTTACTTAATCGAAATTGCCTATCATCAAATGTGGACAGCACATTATTAAGCATGGAAATGTCCCCAAAATACTTTCGCATTTGTCGAATCCCACGCGATGTTTGACACCACTACAATGCTATGACCTTTGTTTGTCCTGTTTTTACATTCGATTTCACGCATAACGCGTGATTCTCGCAGGGAATGGAAAATGGTCATACAAAACACCCAAAAAGTCTTTTAAGCGAAAATTAATTCCAGCTAAAATAAAGTATTATACAGTAATGTGTTAGCCCTATAATCTGCTTCCAAATATTAGAGGACACCCACCCAAGTACAAAAACAGGTTCCATTTGTACATTTCTAGTTCATTTTATCATTTTATCACTTGTGGACGTAAAAATGCAAACACATTTCCTGGTTACAATGTGGACATACCGTGGTGTTTCTTCCTCCTCTGGTTTGTCCAATTCCACTTCATATTCATGCAAGTCCTCCATGTCTTCATCCAACTGTTCACAAAGCTCGGTTAATAACACATCAGTAGCCTGTAACACAGTCAAATAATTATATTATTTTCTTAGTCCTAAGAATTATTCATGCAACCTGGGAAGTTGATAGTGCATTTTTTCCCTCGGTTGTCAAAAAGCCTGGGTTATGGCAAGGGCGGTAGGCAAAAGTGCCTGGGTTAATACAATACTAGAAATAATACATGAATAATTTCCTTCTTGGATAAAATAAGTTATTAGTAACATTCTACAAATGATAAAACAGTACTACAAGCATTACCGTGGTGACAAGTTTTGACTTGAACTTGTACATGTAGTGGTTTTGCGTCTTGCTCAGACTCTGAGTTTTAAAAAACGTACGTCTAGCGCGTACAAGACCACGTGTTTTCTGAAAACGTTCAAATGTAGGACGCTTTCACCCTGCTCTTCATAATTGAATATAGAACATATGACCTGCAATTGTTCGTCCAATGCTCGTACCATTGCATATGTGTGCCATGCTCTACACGCTTTATCATGCATGTGTGCCTTTTATAAAAGAAGGTTCACACCATGTTCAATCATTAATAAACATAACTCACTAATCTGGGCTTAATATCGAATGTTTGCTGTGAAATGCAGAAACTTTAATAATCCCTGTTGTGTGGTCACTCATGATGCATCGCTGTCACTAGATGCGTAGCTGCCGTGTTGTGCATATTTAAAGTTAGTTCGATGACGGGCGAAATAAGCTTACCAGAAATAAAACAATGATATACCCTCACACTACTGCAGCTACTGATGAGTTATTAACAACCAACTTCCCGGAAGACTCTGATTTTCAAGAATATTATTACAGCCGGCGTCAGGGTGCGATAACTCAAAAAAATAGACTCGATCAAGCAAAATTTTCAATATGTTCATGAAAAATTTGGTTTATTTCTGTATTCATGAAAATTTTTCAAAACCATCACATACAAATTACGTACCATTTTACACAAAACAATGATGACACTTGGCAACTACGAACACCATGAATAATGTTCGCGAACGAGAAGTCTGGTACGTGGTGTGTCCGAAAATGAAATGCGCTGTGTCATACACCGTCTATTTTATAGTTTAGCGGAATTTCTCATTTATAGAAGAACACAGACGCGCACGCAATCGTGAAGTGGAAACACGCACAATTCATTGAATGGCTGCGCTGTTAAATACTTTTTTACAACTCTCAAGTACGCCACTATTGATAACTTACGAGTTTTCTCAATTTATCTAATACATGTCAAATTGGTAAGGAAATTAAATATAGATATAATGGCGCAATATCTAGTTTGTGTGTATATTTAATACGAATATTATTTTTTTAAATCTTTCAAAGCAGAATGTATCACTGATCCAACACTTTTGCCTAACGCCCTTGGTTAAGGATAACATTTACTTGGTCATTGGAGACTTGAAAAGCCATGCACAAAGTCTGTGAACTGCATTAATTCAACCAAACTTCAGTCATGGGAAATAGCAAAATCTTATGACAGTGAAATCACTGATCTTTGGGCAGTGATTGACAGTGAATTTTATCTATTTTAAAATTTGCAATTTATTTACATGTCTAAATAATGAACGTTTGAAAGTATCGGTATATAGAATTAATACTATGCATGCTTTGTGGGGATATTTCATACTTACAATATTAGATGTGACTTTTTCATGGTGTTTTTTCAGTGATTTGTTCTCTTCTGTGCATTTCCTCTCATCACGTACATTGTAATACTGATGAAATAATACATCCAGTATGGTTGCTAGGGAACAAAACAAAAGATGGAGATTAGTATGAAATGAAACGAAAATTAATATCTTAATGATTACACCAGTATGACATGCCATTAATGAACAAAGATTTGATGTAAAATAACTTGTTTTGCAAATTCACTGGAGCATCAGTGATGCACCAGAAATCATACACTGATATTGTAATCTTGAAAAATATTCCACAATGGTTATATAATTTGTAATATTTGGTAAACTGAAATTCATATTTTATAAACAAAATAAGTTTAAATACAAATGAAATCAGGCACCACAGCATATTTGTTTGTGTCTTAAATTACATATACAGTTACACCGAATTTAATTATTTTCCTTGAAAGCCAACTGCTGCCGCAGTGAAAAGGCTAACTAAACTTTATTTTTAGGATGTCATTTTTATTCCCCTACAAAAACAGTCCTGATAGACAGCAAACTGGATGACGTCATGGATGTCAATCCCTATGCATGTCAATCAAACTTGACCTGACCTTGAAACCAATGTTTTTCGATGAACAGACTCAGAGGTTATGTGATTTGGATTTTTATTAGAGACTTACCATCAAGGAACTTATCAAAGTATTCTCTCTCAGTCCAGATTTTTCCATTCCTTGCAATCACAGTGAGAATGTAATCCAGAAAAAAACTGTCAACAAGCACTTCACCAGCGTGTTGAGAAACCTACACACACACAAAAAAAAAAAGTCATAAACTGTGTTCCCAAACTAAGTACTAAGCAAAACCAAAACTATTGAGTTATATAAATATTTATTTTGTTATTGGACATTAAAAACATTACTCAGATCAGTGAGTCAGGCAAGTTGAGTGAAAATGCAAGTCCTTGTCTTCGCTTACATGCAACATAATATGAAAACCCAGAATATTCTGTGGTCCATTGAAGTGTATAGAGCCGTTATCTTACATCCTAAATCACCAGTTTCAAAATTAGAGGTTTTTGTGACATCCTGGTTTTACTTATTCACAAGTAATCCTCCAAACTAAATTTGTTTAGCCCTGATAGTTTGATTTTTAACAACAATAATGAAACCTCACACAACATCATATTGAATTTGAAGAAGGGTCCAGATGTGATAACGTGTTCAGTTTCACTTTAGACATTCTCTTATCATTATCTTGCCCTTAACCTCATCCAATATTGCACTATGGGAGATTCATTATTGTTTAACTAAACGTTATTATTACTTACGTCTTTGAGTTGTTTTTTGATAACGGCCGCATCATAACGTGCTAATGTCTCCTGTGCTAACTCACTGTGTATCACGTTCAGTTCATCTTCCACGAACTCACTGATGTAATCTTCTAGTATCACTTCAAAGATGGCTTCTCGTACCTGATATAGTAATTTCAAACGCAGTGTTAAGTGCTAGAATTTTGCAACTCATAAAGAATGTCACGCTTTCATCAGTTGATTCATTGCGCATGGAAAAAAGATATCAACTGTCATTCATTGCCTGGAAAATTAGCATATTCAAATTAGAAACTGTCATCCATTGCTTGGAAAATTAGCATATTTAAATTAGCAGCTGTCATCCATTGCTTGGAAAATTAGCATATTCAAATTAGCAACTGTCATCCATTGCCTGCAAAATTAGCATATTCAAATTAAAAACTGTCATCCATTGCTTGGAAAATTAGCACATTTAAATTAGCAGCTGTCATCCATTGCTTGGAAAATTAGCATATTCAAATTAGCAACTGTCATCCATTGCCTGCAAAATTAGCATATTCAAATTAAAAACTGTCATCCATTGCTTGGAAAATTAGCACATTTAAATTAGCAACTGTCATCCATTGCTTGGAAAATTAACATATTTAAATTAGCAATTGTCATCCATTGCTTGGAAAATTATCATATTTAAATTAGCAATTGTCATCCATTGCTTGGAAAATTAACATATTCGAATTATCAACTGTCATCCATTGCTTGGAAAATTAGCACATTTAAATTAGCAACTGTCATCCATTGCTTGGAAAATTAACATATTTAAATTAGCAATTGTCATCCATTGCTTGGAAAATTATCATATTTAAATTAGCAATTGTCATCCATTGCTTGGAAAATTAACATATTCGAATTATCAACTGTCATCCATTGCTTGCAAAATTAGCATATTCGAATTATCAGCTGTCATCCATTGCTTGGAAAATTATCATATTATTAAAATTAGCAACTGTCATCCATTGCTTGGAAATTAGCATATTCAAATTATCAACTGTCATCCATTGCTTGGAAAATTATCATATTCAAATTATCAACTGTCATCCATTGCTTGGAAAATTAACATATTCGAATTATCAACTGTCATCCATTGCTTGCAAAATTAGCATATTCGAATTATCAGCTGTCATCCATTGCTTGGAAAATTATCATATTAAAATTAGCAACTGTCATCCATTGCTTGGAAATTAGCATATTCAAATTATCAACTGTCATCCATTGCTTGGAAAATTAGCATATTCAAATTATCAACTGTCATCCATTGATTGGAAAATTAGCATATTCAAATTATCAACTGTCATCCATTGCTTGGAAAATTAGCACATTTAAATTAGCAACTGTCATCCATTGCTTGGAAAATTATCATATTAAAATTAGCAACTGTCATCCATTGCTTGGAAATTAGCATATCCAAATTAGCAACTGTCAACCATTACCTGGAAAATTATCATATTCAAAATAGCAATTGTCATCCATTGCTTGGAAATTAACATATTCAAATTAGAAACTGTCATCCATTGCTTGGAAATTAACATATTCAAATTAGAAACTGTCATCCATTGCTTGGAAAATAACATATTCAAATTAGCAACTGTCATCCATTGCTTGGAAAATTAAACATTCAAATTAGAAACTGTCATCCATTGCTTGGAAAATTAGCATATTATAATTATCAACTGTCATCCACTGCATGGAAAATTGGCATATTCAAAACAATTTCTCATTTACTCACAGCATCCTCAATGTAAGGCTTTTCAACATCTTCAAATATTTCCATAAATGAGTCGTACACGGCAGCTTTATTGAGATGTTCTTGTACCAAATCTTCGATTGTATCAGCTACGACTAATTCTACACTCTCTACAACAATATCATCTAGCAGTGTAGTACCATAGTCATCAATGTGGTCTTTATGATTCCATTTATCTGTCATATAGCTATGTGAAAAAAAAAACATAGTGAAATGGTTGAAGTCTTGCCTTAAACCACTAAGTATGTTCAGTAAATCAACAGTTTTCCAACAATTTGAATTCCAGTAACAGTGGTAGTAGGTTTAAAGCGAGAAAGTCGTCATCCTGTGCACGCGCGAAGAATTGAGTCCCAAGCAACGATAACAACACACACTAAAATGCAAAAGCTCATGGGTAGACGCTTGTTTGTAAACAATGACACGCTATGGCCATCTGACGCATGCGCAGGTGACGACTCCCCCGCTTTAAAACATCTATAGTTTTTTCTAATACTTACTTATCAACTATTGTATCAGTAACACCAATGACAATCTCCTCTGCCATTTGTTCTACAGTTTCATCAACTATGTCTTCACAAGTAAGAATGGACGGAATAAAAGCAGGATGCTCTTTGGGCTGAAATACATAAACTTAATTATTATACGTCTGTCACCGTAACGCCATAAGTTACAGCGTGTCGTAATTTTGTGAAATAACTTTACTGACCAGGTATCT